AAAGTGCATGTGTGCTAAGTGAAAGGATTCTTCAGACTAAGTGAAAAACTAACAAATGTTAATCTCTATCCAAAGGGATGAATGGCTCAGACGGCAGAGAAAAATGGTCGCCATTGACGCATTGAACTTCAAAAACCAGAAGGAGCAGTACGACATGACACGCGTAATCCGTGAGCTGAACAAGGTTGGTTGGCCTGCACGGTCTCACCCTGTTACTGTGACTAATCATGGTATGGTCACACCACAATGGTTTCCTATGTCAATGGGGTGCTTGGAAACAACTCCGATCTTATCTTCTCTACAAAGTGGAAACGTTCAGTACATTAGGATGCCAAGAAGAATTTGTCAGGCCAAGAAGAATTTGTCAGTGTTTGGATTTATTGGTCACTATTAACATCTGATTAGATTTGTTACTCATCTTGTTTGATGTTGCCAATGATCTTTTGGCTCTCAAGCTGTTCTTGTGTTTTCAGACTTTGCTTGCATGAGTTTCCATCTGACCAGGTTAAGAAGCAAAGGAGCTTTTCTTAATGTGCGTTTTGGGTTATTTTTTGAAGGCCTACTGTGGTTTCCGGGGAGAAGAGAACATTCCTGTCGATTACCTCCCAGCTGTAGCTACTGGGAACTGGGGCTGCGGTGCCTTTAAGGGTGACCCCAAACTCAAAGGTAAGGCAGGTCACCTCCTAGGAGGACAGGAAAATGCCTTGTTGGAATATGCAGCTGGAATATCAACCGTTGGGTAATTTTTGGAAGAATGTAAATGTACCGAGGTCCTCCTCTTGTTAAATGATGTAACATAGCTGATGTCCCTTTCTGTGTTCTAAGACTATTGCTCTTGAATTAGTTATTGTGGTTTATCTTTAGCTCAGTGCTTTCGTCCATATATCTTCCAATCCCTGATCCTGGTCAGAATGGAGCCTTACCAATGCTGCACGTCCACCACACATGAGATCCCCATCCATCACATTCTGCACATTTATACAGACACTATGGGCAATTTAGACATGCTCATTACCCTATTTACATGGCTTTGGACTGAACGTGCACATGGAGCGACCATGTAAACTCCACACCCAGCGTGTCGGCTTTGAACCCCCAGCTCAGCCATGAAACCCCCATGGTTCTCATACTCTATGGAAGTGTTTCCCAGTCCGGTCCTCGGGGACCCACAGAGTCCACATTTTTG